AATTATGTAATGAAATTTTTAATTTAATTTATAGGTTTTACATCAAGATGAGAATCATGATAATGAGAGTAAAATTTTTTACGATTTAATTTAAAATATTCTTATTAATTATATCATTAAAATATGATATTAATGATCCGATAAGAATAATATATATGTGATAGTTTTTATAAAATAAAAAGTAATTGATCTCGTTAACTAAATCACATATATATATATATAATCATTGAACCGATCCGATTAAAAATTTCTAATGGTTAATATTATTTTAAACTGTCAATACATTATTTTGTTATTTTGATGATACGTAATAATTTTTTTAAATATGAGATCATCATAAGAAATTAACAAATCATTTATTATACTTTGTTTCTGAATACCTATAGTCATAGAACTGTAATGATTAAATACTCTTATACCAAAGTTGAAAAGATATTGAATGTGATTAAATACTTATAGAATTAATGATTGATCAAAACCAACTTTGGTTAATAAGTTTAAGTTTTATGTTATCATTTATTATCGAGACTAAATTAAGAGAAAGAATAAAAAAAAAAATTTATGTCATTCATTAGTAAATTATAATTAATATGAAATATAATTGGTAACCTATTGGAATTTGACAATTAAATCATATTTTAGCGTTAACCCGAAATAATAATAACGAAAGAAAATATTACATATTTCTTTAGAGTAATTGTACATTTAATGTTATTCGATCGTTGAGAAATATTGTTAAACATCAACATTAATTAGTGAATTGGTTTGACCAATTTGCTATCGATTAAGTATTGAATCTATGAGATCGTATACTAGCGAGTGTTCTGACTTTTGTTAAATAAATTAATTATTTTAATTATTTAAAAATTAAATTATAAAATTTATTTAATTAAATAAATAAATTTTTGTGTTTAAATAAAATATTATTATATTTTTACTGGCATCGATGATATAATTAATGTTGGAGACAAATTGAATTTTTTTTATTTTTTAAATAAAAAATTAATATTTATATTTTTTGTTATTATATTATTAATATAATAATATAATATGTGTAACTACTATAATGATTGATATTATTATAAAATTTAATTTAAAATTAAATTAATTTATAAAATTATTTTATTAAATAATAATAATTTAAAAAAAAGAAACATATATATATATATGAGATTTATATGTATATGATTGGGTGTTAAAAAGAAAAATAAAAAAAAAAGGTAGATTAGTTCAATTTGATTTGGAATTCTGCAGGAAGAGTCCAAAAACAATATCACCACCCACCGACCAAAAACAAAATCGAGGAATTTTTCTGTTAAATACATATATTATTCAACTTGTTTATGAGTTTTGTTAATTAAATAATTGAATAACGAAAGTTAATTTCAGTGTGAATAGGAATAGAGTATTCGTATTTTTAAATAATTTTAATTTAAAAATTTGTTGTGATGTATATTTTAAATCAGATTAAATTATTTTATATTTTTCATTGCATATTATAATTCTTCATCAAAATCATAAGAAAATGGATTTATTCAGTTAGTTATTTCCGCTTTACATCATAAAAAAGAGTGATTTTATTCGTATTATTGACAAATTTATATATTATATTTTATTTAGAAAAACAATGTAAAACAACGAATGTTAGTAGTGGGAACCCAAACCGGTCCAAGAATTACTAAATTAATCAAATGTAAGTTAATATTATATATATATATATATATATAGCTGAAATTATATACAACACAAATAGGTACGAACAAATAATTGATAAACGAAAATACACGGGAAAAATAATTGAATGTTATTCTATTTTTATGTTATAAATCAACAAAGTTGGTATCTCTCGATTTCCTCATTTAAGAATAAATAAATTAATCCATGCAAACGATAACAGTATCTATCCCTGCCCAACATCCTAATGGGCTACATCCCCAAAGGGGCGGTCTAAAAACAATACAATACTGGGCCTTAAAGCAGTTTCATGTTTAGGCCTATTTAAAAAGCCCATTACTGTCTCATGGTAACTACTGGGAGCCAACGCTTTGGACAAACATAGCATATATAAAGATTATTCATATATATATATATATAGAAGCAAGTGCGTTATAATTATATATAAAATATATATTCATACAGAACCGTGGATATCTGGGAAAAAAAATATTATATGAGAGTTAAATTTTCTTTCTTGACATCGTCATAATAATATAAATATCTGAACTAGTTTTTTTTCTAATAAAAAAATATAAATAAACTGAGGTTAGATGAGCTTCGTTTTGCTTGGTTAATTAGCATTAGATGCTTACAGACGAATTGTTCACAACTGAAAATCAAAATTGTTCTAACAAAATCAATTCCTAAATTTAGGGTAAAAGTTGCACAAATTAATTGATCACTTGACTCATCGAGCTACAAATAAAGAGATTAATAATTCAATTTACTATTTTTTCACTTTCATTTTTAGTGTAAAATATTATACATAAAGTTAAACCTAGATCAGTCCCGTTGATATGATCATAATCGAATTAACCTTCCGACCGGAGTTTTTTAAAAAAATATTAACGTGTAAAATTTTAATATTATGAATATATATTTGGGTTTCTTTTCAAGAATTGGTAGTCATATTAAAACGTAAGAATCTATACTTATATAGATGAATTAAGATTAAGCAAAAACTAAACCCCATTTGCATGCATGCACTTGAAAACACAGCAACGCGTAAATACTAATAGAATAGTGAGTTGGGAGAATTTGATGGGTTGATGTAAATTTAAGTGATCTAGAGAAGCAGAGAAGATGCCGTGTCCTCAAGCGATTCAAACGACGTCGAAGCAGGAAAAGGGGCATGTCCAGACCCAAATGCTTTGATATGATCTTTAAGCGATCTCTTGTGTTTGAAATCTGAGCCACACACACACGGCCAACGCTTACCGCAGTTCTTCTCGTGCGTCCTCCAGTCACCTTTCACCGCCAGCAACTTCCCACACTTGCGACACATGAACGATTTCAGCCCATGTTTTCTCTTGTAATGCGTCTGCAACGTCCGGAAATCCTTCAGCGGCTTTGCTCGCTGGTGCTCGATGTTGTTCTTGCACCCTTCTGCGCAGCAATAGCACGGTATCCCTAACATCGCCCGCGGCTGGCTTCCTTTCAATGAATCTGGCCCTTTTCTATATTGTGATCCGTGACCCCACATGTGCATCTGCATCCCATTTATCATACCATTGTAAATACATATATATAAGTGTAAAAGTTGTATATCATAGTGCATGCAGACCTGGAGATTATTGTAGCGGTTAAATGTTTTGAAGCAGACATGGCAGGAAAAATGAGTGAAGCCGATGAGTATTTGCTCGGCAGTTGGTATCCAATACTGACTAGCTGCTGTATAGTTTTTACTCTTTGAATCTGTATTAATGGTGGTTTGCTCAGAAAAGCAGTGATCTGGAAGGCCGATATGCAATGCCACGGTAACGTCCTCTTCTTCATCGGCATTGCTGTTGTATTCTTGAAGAGGAGGGTTTTCGTGGTGTTTTTTTTCTTGGGAACCAAACAAGTCCAGGGTGGGGAATAGATCAAGAGGCTCGATTACAGGCTTTGTTGAAGAAGCCGCGAGGAAACTGCATGAAATATCCAAAGGTTCCATTGCATGAAGACAAGAAGATGGAGAATTATGGGCAGACCGTAGGCTGTTGATTTTAATTTACTGCTTTATTTTATATAGCGAGTATTTAGGTAGCCTAGCCACATTGTTGGAGTGTAATGATGAGTTATATATATACATACATAATGTATATAGTTTGATCAATGTGACATGCCCTTAGAAAAATATATAGAGATGAGTGAGAGAGTTAAATGTATAGCTAGTAAGAGAGAGTGGTAGCGTAGAGGGTGGCTGGAGAATATTGTGGTTGGGTGAAAAGAACCTCTGCGAAGGGGGGTCATAAATTGGTTCTGTTGATTTTGGATATCTAATTTTAGGGCGTCCTTAAATTTTGTGGGGCATGAGCACCATGTTTGGAAAGAGTTGAATTGCAGGGGTGTTGAAATTTTATATATGTAGTCTGAATGTTTATCGTTTTTAACAGTCAACTCCCCCATTGACAATTCCAAGCAGAGAGAGAGAGAGCTTGTATTATTCAGACGTGAGATGATTATATTTCTTAATATACGTACATGTGTATACGTATTAGTGGATAGCTTTCATTTGTGTCTCTTGTCCAAATATTCCACAACCCTTTTACTTTTTGGTGCTGTATAGACTGTAAATAGCAAGACAATCTAGTGTAAGTTTCTTCTGGTGTGAGAAAACCAGGTTTCAGCTCCTGGTATAATAAATGCCCATTGAAATTTAAATACGTATTGAGAGAAATTCACTTAATTAGCCATGAAATAAGCTGGCATTCCCCATCTAAGAGTTGTTCCAAATGGTAAAAAATTATTGAATTGGAAAACTTTCAGTTTGCACCATATGTACAACTATTTACTGCTCAAATAATCTTAGTATAGTTACCATTGAATCTAAGAACTGGGTAAAACAATATGTATGTGCGTATACATGAGTGAGGTATGCTAATGGTGGAAAAATGATAACTCAACTACTCATGGAAGAAGAATTAATTCGGGCATGAGCTAATTTTTTCACGCAAACTTGCTTCTCGATTATTAGATCCTAGTTGCATTTGGCGCATACCCCATTTTCTTATTCCGCAGTTACCCAAAACTCAATACCTCCAAATCTTGGTATATGAGCACGTAATGCGATATAGGTTAAGTTCAGATTTGATAAGGTGGCGGGGAATTGAGATTTTCTGCCGAAAAGAAATTTGAAAGATAAAAACAGGTTTAGATTATATTTTGTTGAAAATGAAATGAGAAATTAAAAAAGTACATGAGTTATGTATGAACTAACAAAATTCTTAAAATTCCAAACGCATAAATTATATCTAAATTCAATTTATTAACTATAATTAAGTTTAATACATGAATTATTTATTTTTTTTATAAAAAAAATACAGTAATTATTATATTTCACAATTTACATTTAACTTAACTGTTTAATAAGAAGATAGTTTGAATATGTATGTTGAAAATTTCAAAATTATTATTTCCAACATCTTCACGGTAATTGGTCCTAGACGGGGCTTGGGAATCCAGTTACATTAGTAAAGAAAATAGATGGAAAAGAAAACAAAAATAGAAGCCCTAAAGTTGCGAGATTTGATTTTTGTCGTATTTTTTCAATCCTTCAATGTTCGTACAGAACAAAATATATATATATATATATATTAAAATCTAAATATTTAATAAGATGCTCAAAAAATAAATAAATTAATTATTAGGTTTCCGGATAATTAAATTAGATTAAATTTTAATTAAAAACAATTAAAATTGAAGAGATGAAAATTAATTAAGGAGATGTACAGTTGGGTTCTTCTATCTTTAGTTATGTGCACTGTCTGATGTATTCACTCCGCCTTCTGTTTCTCCAGATACTGTATGTTGTGGAGCCTGTGAATCTGATCATCAAAAAAATATAAACTCAACAAATTATTTTTTCTAAAAATAATCCTACTATAGAAACAATTAATTTAATTAATCGTAATTATTTACAGTGTTCAAAAATTTTAACCACACATAAAGCTTCTTCTAAATTGTAAGCTAGTACCACATGGTAGTCGACATAATGAATGTGACACGACAATTATAGTGACCGGTGAATTTGCTTCGATATTCGAAACAATAATATCTAACATCCCCTTTTTTTATTTTATTAATTAATTAATCCAATTAGACTGACTATACCAGGTAAATTCTTTCAGTTAAAAAATAAGATATAAACCACGCATACCAATAAATTATGTAAAAAAAAATTATTTAATTTATATAACATTTTTTATTTACAAAATTTAATTTTTATTTAAAAATATAATAAACTCCAACTTAATCAATATAATTCTATTGCTTAATACCATTTTTAAGTGTAAGCGTAGAAATAATTAATTAAATAAAAAATTAAAAAAAAAAAAAGCAAAAATGGCAGCGAAGTAACATGGGGAGGAATTGGAAGTGGGGCTTGAAGCAGTGGAGGAGGACTGTATTACACACACATCAAAACCACACACACTATTAAAACCAATACACCAATGCATGCTACTCTGTCATCACTTTTCCTTTGACCCATCATTTGGGTCATCCCCTACAGACAGCTCACACCACATGCTTCAGCTTCCCCTCGTGGCCCCTCGTCCTCTGCATATGCCCTCATTTATATTATCTCATTATAACTCTCTCTCACAAACACACGGACTATTAATCCTTCCTTCCTTACTCGTTATAGATATATATATTTGTGTGTGTGTACCTATACATGTAATGTGTATATATATACCTTTCGAAAAAATATGTACGTATTGTATATGCACGAGGAAGGTAAAGCGGAAAAGAAAATGTTAATGGTCAGAGTGTCGTAGTAATACTTACCAGAAGAAGGGGAGGGAAAGGGATGCCGAGTGAGTTGGAAGGGATGAGGAGGAGGAGGGAAGGAGGCCGCGGCAGTGGCGTCCGGCAATTGTGAAGAATAGTAGAGATAAGAAGGAGCGGGGGGGGTTAAACGCTGAGGTTGGTGGGGTGCAGGATAAGCTCCTCTGGGGGTGGGAGCTTGCAAAGAGTAGCCATAGTAATAAGGAGAGGCACCCATTGGGTTTGACGATGATGCTCCGTAAACTTGCTGATAGTACTGTGTCTGTTGAACTTGTGGGTTGTATACAGCCTGCATTTTACAGTGTCCCACCCATTACCCTTTTCTCATCACCTCTCTACAAAATCTTATATAGACATACGTATAGATATTCTACCAAAAAAGATATATAAAGAGAGAGATAACTAAAAAGAGATACTAACTTGGTGGTAGCCATAATCAGGAGTATAGGTTGTGTACCTGTACAAGCAGAATTCAATCAAAAAGAAGCTTAGTACACGACAGCTTTACGATATTTCTAAATAATATATATGCACGTAAAAACATAATGCATAGCAGTTAGATTACCATGTGTAGCACTGGCAGGATGAAGTCGCTATCATTTTTTTTATTTTTTATTTTTTTACAATATAAATTAGGAATTATTTACTTCGTTGTATGGAATTATTGAGAATTAAATTAGGAAAGTAAGGGTCAAAAGTCAAACTGAAACTTCTTCTTATTATTTTTTAGGGAAACTTGTTCTGTCTTTGCCAATTCATCAAATATGAGTAGGACCACAATAACCCAGCTGTCAACAACCCAGATTTTTAGAATCTTCTTCGCATCAGATTAATTAAATCAAGTACCAAAATTTTGCTGCATAACAATAATTTTTTTTTTTTTTTTTACTTGGAAAAAAATTATATTTGCATTCAATAATAAATGATGATTTAATTTACAGGAAACATTTACCTTATATTTTTTCTCGATTTACCTCAATGATTTCTACACATACATAAATATACAGATATATATATACATAGACATACATACATACATACATATATATATATGAACTGATATAATATTTGAAATTGGCTAGAAAAAGCAGAGTATTAAAATCGATCTGTAGGCTGTAGTATGCTTAATGGGGAGCCAATTTTATAACCTCATACATCAAAATCAATTAAATAAATAGGGACAGGACCACTATAATATTGCATTCATAGGGGCACCGCCGGTCCACAACCTACCTAGATACCTTAATATCACTTTTCTATTTGTTCATATCCACTAATCATCATTAATTATTTCCAACTATATACACAAAGAAAACTTATTTATTATACACATAATATTTATACAAAAATGTATAATAGTTTCCTATATATTGAACAAGGGGGTGGATTATGAGGGTGGGTTTATTTTAAATGGGACGTAAGTCGACCCATACATCAACACCAGGTGGGGCACGGTGTCGTATTGTTTCTTCCTATGCACATATAATACATTGTAAGGTCTTAGCAGCAGCCTTATAGAAGAGTATTATATATACGGCACGTTTCACGTACATCACTTTCCTTTTCTCTCATTTTTCCTTTTTCATTTCTTGGTTTCTCTGATAACTTATTGCTCATCTGTCAATTATATGATTGATTGTTTACAGGCTGATGCCAACTGTACTCATGAATACGAAACAGTATTTTAAAAACTAGACACTGTTATGGTATATATGCACCATATATATTTAGCATACTACACAAATATATGTATATATATAGATATACATTTAAATATATATAATCATTATGGCTTTGAAGAAATAAATTTAAAGAAAATGGTGTCGTACTGCTCACCCATAATAAGGTGCATAAATGAGAGGAGGAGCTGGTGGTGGTAATGGTCCTGCAACTCCTCTGTATGATGCTGCTCCACCTCCTTGATATGGAATACTCTGATAATTACCAACTTGGTTTCTTCCTGCAAAATTTTCATTCAAAATTTTCAGAATCATGATATATATATTATGATAAGAATATATATTGGTATGATTAAAGATGAATGAACCTCGAGGAGGCGATGGTCTAGGCCGACCAAGTGAAGCAATATTACAATTTGCTCTTCGTCCATCAATAACTGGGTTCGGGTCAGCACAAGCCCTTCTTGCCGATTCAGCATCACGAAATGTAACCTGAAAATAATTATCATATAGGAAGATCAAAAACAAAAGACGCTATATATTTAGGTATGTGTATATATATATATATATATGCGAACGTTTTACTTACAAATCCATAGCCTTTAGATTTGCCAGTGTTCTTGTCAGTGATGATAACAGCTTCAAGAATGTCACCAAACTGCTCAAAATACCTACGCATTTCCTCAGTCGGCGTCTCCCATGCCAGTCCCCCAACAAACACTTTGGTGAAAGTCGTGTCTCCAAACTGTGATCGGTAATGTGGATAATTAGCCATGGCGCCGCCGAAATATGATCATCCAAATTTGTTTCCTAAATCATTCAAATTGTTGAAAAGTTGACCAGCAAGACGAACGAGTCACTGAGCAATCAGCTACAATTCTTTTCTCTTCCATTGCCATCTGATTATCATTTTTCTGCTAAATGGGTTAGTTGACTCTACTGGTTGGCGTGTATCGGCTCCATGGACTTTCTGTTTAGCTGAAAAGAATGGTTGAAAGAGATGTTGAGATATTGTTGATTAAAAGAGAAAGAAAGATTTATGAGTAGCAGAAAGAGAGAGAGAGAGAGAGAGAGGGGCCGACAGGTGCAAACTCTAATTTGCTGTCAATGGAGAGGAGGGAAGGGTGGGCTTTGTAATGTCGAATGACAGCTGCGTGACTACGCACTTGAGTCTGTCTTCCCTGTCCGGGCATTCACATTAAACATTATATACACAACATAAATATATGCATGTATATATGTATGTATGTATACATTTATCTGTTTTAGTAGTTGGGTTTTGGGTGTTTATTTGTGTCTTCTTTGTAATTCAACTTTTCAGTTCTTCTAAATCCCATTATATGATAGAGTATTGCTGTTTTTGTTTTAATTTAAATTATTATTTTTTAATAATATATTATTATTATACGAGTAAAATTAAATAAAACGAGTGCGCGGGTGTGTTTATGATGCCCGTATACGGTGTAGACGCGCCAAGACTTTGTACTCTGTGTGGGGCCTTTGGTCACAGTCACGAATCAGGACCATATGATCCTCCTCATCATCATCGTGATCAACTTCCATAATTTACTTAATGGGACTTAGTTGACTAATTATTAAGAATTATCTTATTTGAATATAAACTAATTGATGTTAGAAGTATTTTTATATATAAGTAATTAATTACTTATTATTAATTCATATAGTTTTTAATACAATATACAATAAATAAAAATAGTATATCCAATGCATATACTAGTATTATAAATTCTAATTCAAATTTTTCATTAAAAAAAAATCTAATATATATTGTTAACTAAAATAATTTAACCATTCTAATAATTATTAAACATGTAACAATTAATAAATACTATAAAATGTATATATTAATTTAATTAATTAGTACTACTATTTGGATGATACATTATTTATTTTATAAAAATTTATAAAATTGAGTCCAACTGTATTTTTATACGTCATTATATTTTGTTATTATAGCTACGATTAATTTTGATGTATCACTTAATTATTAAATATATAAAATTTAATTCAAAAAAGTTATTGATATATTAATTAAATATATGTATAATAAATTAACTAGATAATTAAATTTATTATATATCATTAGTATATTTATATTCATTGAATCATTAAACATAATTAATCTTATAAATAACTAATATCTTTTTATGCGTTAACAGTTATACAAGATTATATACATATACGTGTATGTATATACACATACATATAAAGGATAGGATTACTCACAATTGTTTATTTTAGATGTTGAGGCTGTGTTACCAAATTGGGACTGTTGTATATGAGGTATGAGCTTTCATGATATTCCAACTGTAGATACCCACATGGGCGCACGTTCATGAGCAGAGCCCTCTAATCATTAGGGGTACAACAAGTAAGCCAACCAATCAGCAGACATCAATAATAATTAATTAATGTTAATTAGAGTAATTAATGAGTAAATGGAATACCGGAAGGTAGAGGAGAACCAAATTGATTAATTAGGATTCTCCCACTCCTCCTTTCACTATTGGAAATACACTGAAATATGTAATCCAGGAAAGTAAATTTTTTTTAAAAAAAAATAATAACAATTTAACAATTATTTAAAAAATAATAATAATAAATAAATAAATAAAAAGGGAGGGTTGTTGGGAGCGTTAGAGACGAGGAGGAGACAGCTAGAAGGGGAAAACTGTACAAGTCCGTGAACTGGCAACTCTTCTCCACGTGGGCTCCTTTCACTCCTTCACTGCCATCATTAGCTGGATTTCATCTCCAATTTCCTTTTTTTTTTTTTTTAATAAAAAACTTCCCCTTTCTATTATTTACTTTTCCATTTAAATTAAAAACAAAAATTATTTTCTATGGAAAAAGTGAAAAAATAAAAATAAAAAATAAAAAATCAATTAAATAATCTGCAACACATGATTCAAACGTTGCGAGCCCTGTACACTTATCTTGCATGTTCTCTATCCCTTTTCTCGTATAATGCGCTGGGTTGGCCCATCCCACCATCAATCATAATCTACTGCATCAACATATGTATGTCTCTCTGTGCGTGTGGGTATTTCTTTATATAAAGGTTAATATAATATATATATATATATATATCTCTCTGTGTGCTTGTGTATATGTATGTATGTATAGGTGCACGTAAATGCAGCTCATCTCCCACTTAAATCCTCACGAGAGATTCTTTCTACCATTTGCCTCCATTCCTTCTATTTAGCCAGCTACGTGGATGTCACCACTCAAACGTTGTAAGATCCACCGTCTGTGCCATTAGAATCTACATGTATCTACGATATATATATATATATATATATATGGGGTTCAATTTAAGAATTTAATATTCTCAAAAATTTGTTTTGTAGGACGCTTCTTTTTCCTTTATATATATAACATATGTTATTATGTTGTTTGTATAACCTCAATAAAAAAATTAATTGTAATTTATTAAAATTAATCCTTAAGCATTATACAAAATAAAAATTGCAGTAATTTTCTATCCAAATTTTATAAAGTGTATAAAAATATTTTATAATATGAGTTTAAAAACCGAAATATAAAAAAAAATAATAATAAGATATAATTATAACGTAAAAAATAATTCAGAGATAAAAATAAAATAATTTATCTTCGACTTTAAATTTCAAATTAAAGATAAATAGTTTGGTCCCTCAAAGCAACTGGGGTGGTGGCGCAGTTGGCTAGCGCGTAGGTCTCATAGCTCCGAGTTATCCTGAGGTCGAGAGTTCGAGCCTCTCTCACCCCATTTAACTTTTTCTGTTTTTTCATTCAATCCATTTTATGAGCCCCAAAAGAGTTGGTAATAACTAATAGCCCAAGAAATAATGGGCCAACAGCAGCGGAACGCACCCAATTGAAGGTCAATTTTGGGCCAGTTCTTCTTTATCAATCACTCGCATCTAATCGTCTTAGCCCAAAAAAACAACTACAAACCCTAAGTCTAAAGAGAATTCTAGTTGGGTCCATTCGTCTCTCTCTACTTTAAATTGGGCATGCTTCAGATTCCCTTATATAGGACCCAATAAAATATATACACTCGAATTTGTTCTATTGTATCAGAATTTTAACTTTGGCACATTGCAAGAAATTAAAATTTCCCTTTTACATCCAAGAAGAAATATTTTTTCACTAGTTTAATAAATTATATTTAAGAGAAGAGAATATATATATAAAAAGTAGAACGGATAAATGATTGAAATTATAAATGGTTTGTTTCGTGCATACGCATGTTTAGAACGTTTTTAGAGCGACAATTGTACATGGCATGCTGTTATTGCAATTAATGCCCTTTTCTCTAGCTAGTCTTTTTGACATTTTGTGCGAATTTGTCATTATTGCAATTAATTTATACTTTTCGTGATTTTATATATTTTATTAAATTAATTATTCAAATTTACCATAATTTATGAGCTATTGACAATCAAATTTAAATTTTATTAGATTTAATCTAATGCAATTTTATAGGTACAATAATATATTAAGATTTTAAATTGTAGATTGTTGATGGGTATGCATGGTGGGATAACCAAGAAGATTGGGTGACCGACCATTCATCCATATTCATGTAAATATAAACAATGATGGCCTCCTCACTCGTTTTTATTTATAAAGATTTACAGTCTATTTTTATCTATATCTCAAATAAACCTGTTTGTTTTTAATATTCCAATTTACTTAAATCAAAGGGATTTTAAACAAATATTTACTTCTTCTTTTTTTTTAACCCAGTGAAAATAAATCTCAAAGCGAATAGAAAAATTGCAGTTGAAAAAAAAAAGAAAAAAAAAAAAAGTAGTAATATAAATACATGTGGTGAATTAAGAAAACAAAAAAAGGGGATGCATTGAGTCATATGGTGTCCCATTCACTATTCATATGGGTCACTTGTCCTACAGAATATGAATTAATTATATACAATATAAATATGAAATAAAATATAAACTTGGCAATGTTGGATGGTTCGATATTTCATTTTCTAACTTGTCTTTTTTTTTTTTTTTTGGGGGGGGTGAATTATTAGGATAAGACTGCATAATAATAGGTTGGGGAGGTTTTGTAATCAAATCAAAATGGCAAGGGAATCAAAATTATGAAGTTGTTAATTAAAGGGTACGAGTTGAATTTTCAATTCCATATAACTGTCATAATTGCCGATATTTAATTCTTATTTTATAATAAAATTTAATTATAATAAATTAAATATTACATATCCACCCGTATTATTAATAATATTGAATTATAAGTGGGTTTCCTGCTAGGGGATGTGGAGAGGTCACATGCACCAAATCCATGATTGTTAAATAGAGAATGGATTTTTTTCTGAAGAACAGAAGCCCGATCTTCACCACCTCATACGATTATCTTAAACTCTGTTACTATATAATTTTTTTTTTTTTTATAATATAATTTTATTAAATACGTATATATATTTTTTAGATGTTAATATCTCGATTTTGTTGTAAGAATATGTGGCCGGTTATTTAATAGAAAATTTGTAATTTAATAAACACCTTATAATATTGAAACATAAATTGATAACTTGGTGTATACCCGTATTGTATTTTTACAAGGAAATCTGTAATAAAAAATAATATCTTCTCGTTCAATCCTATATTTTATAATTCATACAATTAATAGTTGTTATTCATAAGTGGGGAGGAAGGGAATGAATTTAAAGACCCAACTGTAATTACAAACTATAACACACCTTCTTGAAATTTATACAAATGATTATTTTGTACAATTTAGATACTAAAAACTATATAACATATTCAACAATGAAATTAGTATGTTGTGTTGGATGTGTACAAGTGATGGTGCAATGTGGGTCTGTGATCGTCCACCAAATGTTTACCTAAATTTCCACTACAATCCTTGTGGTTGGGGTGGGCTCGCTTTTCAATGGTGGGATAGCAGCTAATAAATAGGTATTGCGACTTCATCGTTTCTAATTTTTATGTTCACTGTAATATTAAAATTAAAAATTAGCTATTCGATTCGATAATAATAATAAATATATATATTTAATTAATTAATTTCATTATCTTGGTGGGCTTAAGGACAATGTTTAATTTTATACATCAATCTAATTTTTGATGGTTTTCAAATCAAACGATAATGACCAATAAATAACAAAAAGCTTGTTTTACTTGTTAAAATTTATGTGTCTCTTCTGAAAATAAAAATAAAATAAAACTAATATCTATAATTAATACTTTTAAATTAAATTATTTACAATTGAGGTTATAAATAGAGCTGTG